CAGACAGAGAGGAGGAGGATATGACAGATGGAAGGAGAGATGTAGATAGGGAAGAGTCGAGAGACAGAAGATGGGCCAGATGAACGAGAAGCAGACCGGAAGAGAGGAGGGAGGATGGGGCAAATGGAAGGAGGAGGAGCAGGATCAGGAGTCGAGGATGGGAAAAGATGGAAGGAGGAGCCAACCAAGCACCGCCCAATTGATCATTCACCGAAGGACAGATGGAAGGAGAAGAGGCAGACAGGAAGAGGAGAAGGGAGGGAAGGATGGGACAGATGGAAGGAGGGAGCAGACAGGAAGGAGAGAAGGAGGGAGGATGGGACAGATGGAAGGAGAGGGAGGCAGACAGGAAGGAGAGGACAGAAGATGGGACACATGAGAGGAGGAGTCCAGACAGGAAATGAAGAGGAGAAGTGAAAGGAAAGAAGGGGTGGAGAAAGTAAGGCGCGACACGAAAAGCACAATTTTAATAAAGTTCACGCTACACCAAGGAGCAAGCATCACGAAAAAAAAACTTTTACATAATAATAAAACCAAAAATCTCACTCCGCTCACGTACTGCTGGAGAAACTGTGACTCGCACCTCATGAGACATGCGTACAGGTGCACACTAAAAAATAGTAAATGAGCCTAATAATAAAAGACTATTTTAAGTGTTCACATCGACGTACATTCTTGAATTGGAAATCTGCAAGATCTAGTGGTAAACATTGGTGAACCTCAGCACAACTTGCGTTTTTTTTTTTTTTTTTTTTTTTTTTTTTTTTTTTTTTTTTTTTTTTTAAGGCCAAGCTCCGCCTGTGCCTCAGTCATGGCCCGGCCAGTCATCAGCCTCATGCAACAAAAGCAAAAGCAAGCACGCCATCGCGAACACTTAAAACGGCCTCTCCACACTCTAACTAAGCTTCTCGAGTAATACTTACTGACATACTGTTCGAAGGGGTACTTGAGGGGGACGGGTTTGGCGGAGGGGTCCTGCCCCGCAGGGCTGGCCAGGCCTACGTCGGCCATGGCCACGTCGGCCCTGTACACGCCGGCGGCCGGGCGCGGCGCCGCCCTGCTCCGCCGGCGAGAGCTTTTCTCTGTAAGCCGTTGATTGCGCTCTATATCAAATATCTCGTATTTTTTCCCTGTGTAGGAACTTTCGCTTTTGAAACTGCATCAGCCGCCCTAACACGGCCCACCCCAGCTACGGCGCACAGCATTAACGGGCAATATTCAGTGCCAAAATGAGTATGGTAATGATGATGACGATGATGATGATGATGATGATGATGATGATGATGATGATGGTGATGGAGATGGTGATGGTGATGATGACGATGGTGATGGTGATGATGATGACGATGATGATAATGATGATGATGATGATGGTGATGGTGATGATGATGATGGTGATAATGATGATGAAGACGATGGTGATGATGGTGATGATAATGAAAATGAAAATGATGATGTCACAGCATTGACAATTATTAAAACCTTAACAATGAAATTAACAACTACAACTAAGAGTTGTAATAACAATACTATTCTATTAATACGGATACTAACATTAGGAATACTACTGCAACTCCTACTATTACTACTTCTACTACTACTACAACAAACTACTATTGCTGCTGCTGCTACAGCTATTGCTTCTATTACTACTATTACTACTATTACTGCATTAATACATCTACTACTGTTATGACTACGGATACGACTACTGCTACGACTACTACTATTATTACTACTACCACTGCTATTACTACTACCATAATTACTACTACTACTAATACTACTACTATTACTACTACTACCATAATTACTACTACTGTAACTACTACTACTATTACTACTAATATTACAACTACTAATAATTATAACAATAATAGTGATAATAATAATAATGATAATAATGATGATAGTACTAATAGTAATAACAACAACAATAATGATGATAATAATAATAATAATAATAATAATAATAATAATAATAATAATAATAATAATAATAATAATAATAATAATAATAATAACAACAATAACAATAATAATGAATATAATGACAATAATAATAATAAAAATTATAATAATAATATTAATAATAATAACAATAACAATAACAATAATAATAGTAATAACATCAACAACAACAATAAAAACAATAACAATAATAACAACATTGATAATAACAACAACAACAATAGCTAACGACCTTGACCCTAACAACCACAACCACAACACCAATCACAACAAAGAGGCCAAGAGAGCGCCCACAACCCCGGCCTCGATCCGTGACATGACCGGGAAGCTTAGGATCAAGGGAGAGAGGAGAACGTGCGGAGAAATAGAAAAATAGGTGGATAAGAAAACGTGACGTGAAAAATACGGGAGAGGGTGGGACGAAGTGGGTGAGAATGGAGTAAAAGCGGAGAGAATTGGGAAGAAGGGAGAAACGAAGGGAAGAGGAAAAGAGGAAACAGAAGAGTGAGAGAGAAGGAAAGAGGAGGAGAAAGAAAGAGATAGAGGAAGAGAAAGGAAGAGATATAGAAGCGAGAATCAAAGTGAGAGAGAGAGAGAGAGAGAGAGAGAGAGAGAGAGAGAGAGAAGAGAGAGAGAGAGAGAGAAGAAGAGAGAGAGAGAAACAAGAGAGAGGGAGAGGGGAGAGAGGGAGAGAGGGAGGGAGAGAGAGAGAGAGAGAGGAAGAGAGAGAAGAGAGAAGAGCGAGAGAGAGAGAGAGAGAGAGAGAGAGAGGAGATGAGAGAGAGATAGAGTGGAGAGAGAGAGAGTGAGAGAGAGAAGAGAGAGAGAGAGAGAGAGAGAGAGAGAGAGAGAGAGAGAGAGAGAGAGAGAGAGAGAGAAGAGAGAGAGAGAGAGGGGGGTGGGGGAGGGGAAGGGAGAGGAGGGAGAGAGAGAGAGAGAGAGAGAGAGAGAGAGAGAGAGAGAGAGAGAAGAGAGAGAGAGAGAGAGAGAGAGAGAGAGAGAGAGAGAGAGAGAGAGACAGGCAGACAAGATCAGAGAGAGAGAGACAGAGAGAGACAGAGAGAACAGAGATGAGAGAGAGACAGACAGAGAGACAAGAGAGAGAGAGAGAGACATGAGAGAGAGAGAGACAGACAGACAGACAGACGACAGACAGAGAGAACAGGGAGCAGACAGACAGACAGACAGAGAGAGAGAGAGAGAGAAGAGAGAGAGAGAGAGAGAGAGAGAGAGAGAAGAGAGAGAGAGAGAGAGAGAGAGAGAGAGAGAGGAGAGAGAGAATAGAGAGAGAGAGAGAGAGAAAGAGAGAGAGCAGCAGCAGCCGCAAGCAACAGCCGCAGAACACACTAAGACAAGGCAGAAAATAAAAATAGAAGAAAAAACAAAGAAAAGAAATATAAAACACACAGATAAAATCAAAGACATAAAGGGCAAATAGGCAAGCATCATCCCCCGTATCTGCTTCACACTCTAAATAATTCCAATCCTACCTCATCCAACCCCCACCCCCGCTTTCACTGAGTACATACCATGTCATAACCTTATGACAATCCCACGCTTCTCTCCTCAGTCAACAATCTACACTTCCTTTAAACCCTGGATTTTTTTTTTTTTTTGTTTTTTTCATTCAATTCGTGTACCACCAGCCCTGACCTTCTAAATGTTCGGTGCACAGATGCAGAACGATTCCCTTGATGTGACTAAGCTCATGGAAGATTTTGTTTAAAATTTATCAGTCACGGTTGCATAAACGCCTTTGAAAGCGAAAGCATGTTGTGTTCTAGCGAGCTGTGAAGTAGTGCGTCAGTTAAGTGCATTACAGGGGTGTGTTCCAGCGCATTCAATTCTACCGAGCAACAGTGAATGAGAAATGTGCACAAGCAAGCTAATGTTGTGTCAGAAAAGAGTGAAAGAAAGAGGAATTCAAAGACTTGGCTAAACTTTCGAGGAGTTTCGGATTCCTAAGACTACTAAGACCTAAGTCTATATCCTCGACTTCAGCACGACAACAGTCCTCGCTCACATTTCATTCACCTGTTCCTACGCCGGTCATGTACTTCATCCGATCTCCATTCATTCATGAGCATTCCTACGATTCAGTCGACCATTCAACACGGTAGCATGAGGGACCCACTCACACTCCTCCTTCTCCTACTCCCTGCTCTGCCCCTTCTCGCTATTTCTTCTTCTCCTTCTTCTCCTTCTCCTTCTCCTTCTCTCTCCCTGTCTTTTTCTTTCCTTCTCCTCCTTCTCCTTCTTCTCCTTCCCCCCTCCTCCTTCTCCTCATGCAAAACATGTTACACAACTCATCAAGGGCACGAGGGAGCGAGGGTTCCCTCGAGCACGCACAGCCATACTCATTCACGCCCAACGCCCCTAGCTCCCGATCACGCACGACCACCTGAGACGCCCGAGCACATCTGGACTGCCCCTGACTCATACCCCCCCCCCCCCCCTTAAAACCCACTTAGCGCTGCAACCCGACTCAACTGCACTGCAAGGAGGATAAATCGAGGGTAAATAATCTTTTCCTCCTCCTCGCCCTCATAACGACCGCATTACGTGTTATGGGGGATGGATGTGTAAAGAGAGATATAACAGAGACTACATTTCTTTTCGTGAAATTCACAGGGATTGATTTTTGGTCGCTTTTTTACGTTTATACTTTTTCTTTAATATATTTGGCTATTTGGGTAGTAAAATATGTTTTTCTTTATCAAGACAAACAACTCTTAGCGAGGTCACCATGGTTCCTTGTGGCACTGAAACAAACTGGATCCACTTCCCTATGTCCAAGAAGAGTGACCTCATCACACACCATGTCCACAAAACACTGGGTCATAAGGTCCCTTTCCAGAGGCACTGCACTAACCACTCGCAAAGACGCAGAGGCATAACCCCCGCACTAACACCACGACACGAAAAAAGTCAAAACAAGCCACCGGCACTAATCTCTCTAATCACCCCTGGCCCGTGTCCTCTCCCTCCCCAACCCCCTCCCCCCCACACCCCACCCTCGCCACACTTAC